TTATATTCACTATACACTGTCGAATTACAAGTCATATATGTATATGAAAAAATCGTAATTTGTAACTTTGAACATAACCTGTCTTCAGAAAGGACAACATATAAATATCCCGTCGGGGATAGCTAATAGATATACCTACTTCAGTGGTAGCATATTCAGTAATGATTTTCTCACTCCGCAAATATCACTAATTCTCTACACATGCAGACCTATACACATAATCATCCAGATGCGATCTTGCTATTCAACAAACTTCCTTCTCAGAGATGAAAACTACAAACTACTCGGTTTTTCGGAAAACATATGCAACCAACAATGCGTGCAGCTGTCATTCTTCTATAGATGAACGCTCACAACGATCCTAGGGAGCAAACGTGAAATAACTGTTTACACCCTAAAAACTACCTAGTCTGCAAGATGACATTTTATAGGCTTTTATAGACAGTGCCATCCTTTATTATTCACACACTACAATACCGAGCTTTTCAGTAGAGCCATATTCTCTAGTTTGCGTTCTGTGATGTGTCTCCCAGTGACTAGACCTATACCGTACTTTTTATACCGCGCAGGCAGAAGCCTAAATGCCGAGACACCGCGGCTGCTATGATGATCCAAGAGAAATTTTGTTAATTTGATTTTTGAACTGCCTAAGGTTAGTAGAACTGTGAAAAGCATCCTTTTGTAGATTGTTCCACAATCTCGACACCCTCGGGACAAAGCAGCGGTCGAATCGGCCAGTTATGGATGTACGACAACACGATTAGGATGGGGGGCCAAAGTCAGGCGGGTCTATCTGGTGAAGCATGAAACGACTTAAGCTTCACAGAGACAGAAGGCAATCAGATCCTATTCAGCATGTATAAAAAATTCTCTCTTGATGGAAATAAAAAAATACGTCCGATGCGAACAGACAGTCTCCTGCAACCTAGATCTGTGAACGCATTTCATCAGTGTAAAGTCATCTTTACAACCGCCAACACAAAAGCTATAAATGTTGCAGCAATTTTACACCCTCCATGGTAATGCCTTTTAGATTGCAATCTTTTTCCAAGCATATGTGTCTAGGGCTCGATAGAACGTTCGTCCCTTTGACTTATAGCATCCCCGATGGCCTTTCGGCGCGTTGCAAATTTGTCAGCAGGAACCGGCATCCTGAGGGCGTCGTTTTTATGATCCGGTTGAAAAGCAGCGTCGTCAACCTTTCCTTGCCCTTCCCCCTTTCCCTCTCTTGTCCATTATTCACCGAATTCTTCCTTCCGGTCACGTTTCGCCCCAAATTTCCTTACATTGCCGCCGCCTCCGCCTCTACGCGTTATCTTCTCATGGAGATGGTCAGAAAATGAATAAAAGGCGTTACGATGTGCCCAAAAATGGATTTTCGGTGACTCTTCCTCTCGGATTATGTGTTTTTATGCCTGGATAACCATGAAAGTAGATTATGGGTAAATAGGGTATCTCGATCCTATAAAATAGTTAAGTAAACGATTTTGGCCTTAACTGGGCCGCTTAAAAATGACATGTAATACCACGTTGGTCGAAGGTCGACGGCTTCAAGGCATCCGTACTCACGATAGATTTTGCGAACATATTCCATATTGCAGGAGTAAGAATGCACATGATATTGGTTAGCGAAATTTGAAACAATTGAAATATTTTTCAAATTTTAATATATCAAGAATTTGCTTTATATTTATATTACAAAATCGAATGGCCGGGTTGTTGTGAGAATTAGCCTCATTGAAAGGTGCAATTTTGCGGAATTGAATGTTTCATAAGTACATAGCTCTGTGAATGTGTAGCTATGTTTAAATTTCAATTTCAAATAATGTTTTTCTATTGAAAATGTATTCTTTATCGACAGTTTACTTAGGATTGCATCGTTTTTATTAGCAGAACCTGTAGGTGCGCCAGAAAAAAATGACAATTTCAGGAAATTCCAGTTTATTTCCGAAAATACTTCAAATTCTTCTTCCACCACTTTCCAGATCCGAACGCATATTATCAAGAGTCTAACATTATTTTAATCTGAATGAAGCAGTCGCTCAGTATTTATAATCATCCATATTTTACGTTTTGTCTAACTTTAACAAGTTTCAATCCCATATTGCATTAAAACAACTACTAATGACGCTTCTAAATGACAGGGGTATTACGTAGCTTTGAAATCGACATTACGTCAGTTTTTTTTACATTATGTAGGTTGTTTATGTAGCTTTTCCAACAAGACGTCAACTTGTAATAGATGTCGTTGACTTAATGCTCACTTGTAGCCAGCGCGGTAGGGCTACTACGCAAAAAAACCTAAAAAAAAAGTAAAAAGACAAAATGTCAACTTGCTGCTGAGGTAGTGCTAATTTCGCGCTCGCTTTGCGCAGTGAGCGTCCCTCTATGCAGGGATGACTCAACGACACGACACTCTCAATCAACATGCTGCAACCTGCAAGTCAGTTCCCCTTTACGCTTTGTTGATTGCAGAATGCTGAGATAGTCTGTAGACCATACTCTGAGAAGATGTGTGGTTGAGTAGCAGAGTAGCAAGATCACATCTGGATGATTGTGAGTATTGGTCTGCATGATGTGTATAAAATCAATGATATTTGTTATGTGAGAAAATGATTACGTAAGATATTGTCCGCGAAATATATCTATTAGCTGTGCCAGGGTTATTTGTGTTGTCCTTTCTGAAGATAGGTTATGTTCAAAGTTATACGTTACGAAAAACCTTAAGAAGCATTATAGGTAATCAGTACCGCACCCTCGTTGTATGTAATTAAGCCACACCACAGAAAAATCACGTACAAAACATTTTCGCACTGCCTGACATCTAGGCGCCGATTTGTATTTTCTACTAGACATCGCAAAATAAATTTCTATAAAATCTAAAAGACTGGAAATAAAACTTAATGTGCAATGTAATAACCCTTTTACGTTTCATAAATACTCATGTATGTACCATATTTTCTAAACTGTTAGTTTCAATATACTTCACCAACCAGGGATTTTCAATCTCGACAGACAGACCGACAGACACACAGACCGACAGGTAGAAAGGCAGGCGGACCGAAAGACCGACAGACAGACAGATCGATAGGTAGAAAGGCACGCGGACTGTCAGACCGAGATACATGGTATATATGTCGTATAAAGTCCAGAAAACGTATCTCATTCTCGAAATTTTTCGCGATTGCAATACTTCCTTGTCAGTAGGCGTGGGAAGTAAAAATGGCGTCAAGTGGGTTGACTCTGCACATTCCAACCAAAGCCGTCATCCGTTGATAAAGAATGCTTACGTTCAGCACAAGTTGGTCTCTCTTAGAGAAAAATTAGTTGCCAGAATGTATGACAGAGGAGTTAAATGGATCGAGTATGTCAAACAGTCCCATACACTTAGTCGATAGACATTGTTTTCCTGTTATACCTGTAGTACCTTCCATCTGGAAACGTCTTATCTCCCCATACCTACCGCACATGCGGTATCATATTATGACTAGCACGCCCGCCGGAAAACACAGAGAGCAGAAGCAGGGACGCGTGTGGAAAACGTTTCGATATCTTTCTAAACTTTAAGGGCCAACCCACGAGAGTAAGTCTATGATGTGTGAGATAGTCTAACAAATGCGAATTACCGAGGTTGGGAGAGTATACATATAGTAGCATCAGAAAAACGAGATTCACCTACACCCTCTACATCGCCCAACCCCAATTCTTAACGCCTACAAATTTTTTTCTGAAAATAGTCAGGAGCCTCTCCATTGGACCGATTTCCTGAAACTACAAAGACCTTTCGTTCTAGATACAGTAGCAACTTTTTGTGACAATGTTATCCAAGCCCAAACAAAAATTTCCAAATTATAGACTAGCCAAGGATTAGCGGACAGATTGACCGACATACAGATAGACCGCTCGATAAAAAAGTTTTTTTGTGATGTTCATGTCATCATCCAAAAACCATATCTCATTTAAGAAGATTCTAGCTATTACGATACTTCCTCGCCAGAGGGCTTGGAAAGTAAAAATTAATGCCACCAACCTCTGGTTACAGAGCGAATTTATAACTGTTTTGGCTGCAAGATGGCAGTTTTCGATGCAACTGCACCACGGCCGTAACGTAGAAGAATGGGGAGATATTAAAAATATAAATTAACCTCATGCAAAGTCCCACTAGCTGCAATGTAACAAGTTGCTTTATGTTCCGGCAATATCCTGGCACCGAGGCAAGTTATAACTTCTTCCCCGACCTACTTGTAAGGAAACACTGGACATTTATCAATGGTGGTGTGCTGCCATAGACATGGGCGTAGCAAAATCAAATATACTCGAATTCAACCCGATTTCGAATGCAGTTGCGATGCATTTTGATTCGCATCGAAAGCGACTGCTAAACAACTGACAACGTAGATTCGAAGTTATATAAGAAGTCACCAAGTTATACGTACTTACCAATAAGGATGTGGAGTATAAATAGACTATTTTTATTCTTAAGCAGTCTGATCGAAAGAAAATTGTGTATTTGTCAAAAACTTCAAACCTATAAATAAAATGTGCAATGAACGGCCTGTGCTAAGTAGTAGCTAACGTCCCTGTCATACTTCTTGTATCAACTGCAGCTCTCCTGGAGTGTCTTCTACACTACTGCTTCAACTGAACCGCTTCAAAGGATACAAAAACACAGTGGAAAAATATTTATATCGGTCTGCTGGTGAATTTGAACTTTGATGAAAACGCTTGTGTTTGAATCCATTTGCCGTGTCTGGTTGCAATCATTAGCTCCTTTTGGTCAGAATGCCCCCCTAATATTCAAACGTTTACGTGCAATATTCCTGTTATATAATTACCCAGAGGTATCTAATGTTCCCTTGCGTGTCGATGAATCTACCAGAACCTTAAAATATCCAGAAATGATTGAAGATTATATTTATTTACGCTCCGCAAGGGAGAAGTTGACCAGTGCGAATTGGTAGGATTGCTGTTTTGTACAAAAGTTAAGAGTGTAAATTTTAATACGCCTAAATGATGCAATAGCCTCAGGCATTCGGTTCTTATAATAATGATAGTAAAAAGTAATACGGATGTTGTCCCATCGACATCGTTGATTATCAAACGTTATATAGTGATACCGATACTGTACTATATATCGTTACCCTAGAGTTACAATGTTGTAAGTCTCATTTTGACGATATGCCTAAGCCTTCGTAGCGTTTCAAACTCCTTAGTCTAACATCATGATGTAGGCAACCAAAGTTACATAGTTGTATGACGAATCAATCATCATAATATTTCAATTACTCAGTGGTATGTGTCATTACAATGAAATTCTCAACCCCTGGTGATTCAGTCAATCAGGAAATAGATGACGTACACAGCTGCTTAGAAAGGGTTTTTAAAAAATCTGAATATTACTCTCCGGTTTCTCTTCTACATTTTCTTTTGAAAATAAATTCTAAAAAGCCTTATAATATTATGCATCTAAAAAAAACGATTTTACAAACTACAAAACATGTGCAGCTATGTGCAATTACAAATTGATGGTGGTAAGATCGCTACCCTTAAGTTCTCTCAATCTCTACTACAGTTAGGATACAAAGTAAGCCACTCTCGCCACGAATGGAAGAAAGTATGTATTCGTGAATATCGAGGTACACGATCCGATTCTAGGTGGAGATATGCTACCTTCAACGCGCATATCTGTAACAAAAACAATCCTTTAGAATCATATTTTAGCGATAAGCAGAATGTAAATACGTATATGCCCGCAGTAGACAAAGCCTATTATAATGCAAGGTTGCCAAAGTAATTCTTAATAATATGACTATTCGTTGCATATTTTTTCTACTAGTTTTCTGCATATTAAACTAACAAAAGCTGTTTTATTTCTGTTTGTGTACAAACTCAAGTTAACTACAGTTACTGATTTAGAAGGAATACAAAGTTGTGCCCTACTTTAGCTGTAATAAAGTTTTTTTGTTACTATGACGTAGTTGTTTTTTTTGATATGCAAAATCTATATGAAAGAAATGGTCAAATATCAAATACTTTGTCGGCACAGAATATTATCTCAAACCCACGTGCTTTTCTTTGTTTTGGCATAACAACAATCATATTGTTCTTTTGCGTTTTGCTCAAAACTTAAATGCACGTAGAACAGTGTAGCTCTAAGTTAACGATATGAAAAACATACCTTAAGCTAAGTCGACACAAATAAAACATGTTATATCTCATACGGCTATTTTACCTTAACTAGTGAAAATTTAGATGTTACTTCTAAAAGCGACAATTTTCATACAAAATTGTTTCTTTTTTTGCAGGTGAGAATATTCAAATAACTTAAGACTCAACGAACAACGCATAAGGTAATTACTTAATGTTTATAGTTTGTAAAATGTATGTAATAAAACCATAGTACTGTATAAATGTTATATTATCTTCCACGTGTTATTTTTACATCATTAATTATAATAATGTTTTCTCGTCAAAAGCAAATTTCATGTACAATATTTACAATGCTGTAGTTTTACAAACCGCGACTATTATTGACCGACATCAGGTATTGCACCTGTGTAATTGATGACTACAATTTTTTGAGTCACATTCAATGTAAATATTTTTTCTGACCTAGTAGTAACATAAATACTCGGTCCTTTCTCTGCCTTGATGGTTGTATTCGAAAAACCTCTTTTCCGCGCCTATGTCTCCAAATATATGACTGAAGTTTACTGAACCCACTCCTGGGACGCATGACTAGTTACGATGAAAACAATAAAAATGAGACGGTTTTACTACGCCTGGAAAATGGTTCAAGAATATCTGATCGTACTTTATTGCACTGATCCTCAGAAAAACAAACGTTCCACATGGGAGGTCGTCTTCCAGAATTGTTTGAGATCAATGTCGTAGTTTTCCACGAAACTGTGACTATAGCCGTTTAAGCATTTTGCGAAAAACTAAATAAATGTCTGTCTCACTTAAATTAAATTTCTATTTTCATTTTTGTGCCCTGCAAACAACTGCTATAGTAGCGGAAACGTTAGTAAAGTTTTTGTTCGTTGAGCATAGTGCTAAGTACTTACCAGGACCACCAGAAAAAATACTCTATGTCATAAAGGCACTCGCAGAAAATTGCAAAAGTTACATTTCTCTGCACATTTGCTTTGTTTCGTATTATCTTTTTTCTTATAAAAAGTAACATTACTAAAATGTATCCTAGACAATCATGTTTGTACTAACTTCACAAGTTTGCTGAGATATGCTATCTCGCTATATAGCAGAATGTTTTGTAAAACCACAGTACAGCAAAACATAATTAAGCATGAGCAAAAAGATTGTGCATTTCCACCTTGGAACTGTGTTGGTTAAGAGGCAACATAATAAACTAAATGTGAATAATTCACCTTGATGAAGTTACGAGAACTACATAGCGCAACTCAGGTAATACAGCCGGTGACAGCAGCACTGGCTTATATACACATATACATAAATTAAACAAGTAAGGTTTGTTGCTGCCTTATTACATTTGAAATACAGTGCTTTTCAAAAAGGTCCTCCCTCTAGTTTATTTTTTCAACAAGCCAAGTTTGCGAGCCAAATTTTGGTATAATGGAATTTATGACTGAATACGAGTACCATATTTTAGTGCGAAAATGAAGTTGAAAATTTCACAATGGTGGTAGGATAGAATTTTAAATTACGTGATATATCATTTTAAAACTCTATATGGGCAATTTATCAATCTAGAATATAAAATCAGCATTTTTCAGAATCTTCAACTGCTGTCAAAGTCGAGCGTTATTGTGGATGTAATTTAGCAACCAATCATATTTTGTGATGATATATCCGTATGCGTAATAGAACCTGAAACATTCCATTTGAAAGAAGTATCTAAATTTTTTGAACAGAACAATCCATATTTCATTGCACATCCACATTTTTATGATTAGTTATTAAGCTCATTTTCCGCAGCCCGCCGGTCCGCATTCTGAAAGATAGTAGATATACTTTAGGGTTTATAAAGTACTCGCTGTTACCACCGCAACTTCGTACGCCCTAAATTGTTACCAACATATAATTGTATTGCTATAATTGCGATACATTAGAAAATCGACAGTCAACTTGCATGCTTGCATGCATTCTTGAAATTAACATTTTAGAATAAACTAATTCTTACTTTGCAAAATCTACCTCTCCGTCAAATTTTCGGTTAAGCAATCTGCTCTCAGTTTAATAACCTAAACTTAACAGAATCTCAGCGTTGTTTTTAGATATTAGGAAACTCCAAACAATTCTAAACGTGTAAGTCTCCTTTAATGCCTATTTGGGCCCTGCCGCAAAATCCGTTCTTAGCTGGAATGTCCTGTCCGTAAGCTACCTCCCTGTCAAAATTTATATTTGTGTGTCAAAGTGTTTTCGAGATTTCGTGATTAATTTATATCTTTTTGCTTTTACAAATACCTGCTCTAAGCCCCCTTAATCTAGCTCCCTTGAAAAATAGTTTGCGATATTTCGTGATTCATGTGTTTCTTTAATAGTTTTTATATATGTTTGCCCTTAGCTACCGTAAATTGGCCCTATTGTGAAATCCTAATTGACATCTCCTGTCCATAAACTACCTACCTACCAAATTTTATGTTCATAGGTCAAATAGTTTTCGACAGTTCACGATTAATATGTACCACTTATATTTTATGTACTCGTATATCTGACCTTAGCTCCCTTGTTCAAATCCAGTTTTAGAGTCTGTTGTTAGCCGATATGTTTTGTGCATAATCTACCTACCTATCTTGTCGCATTTATATATATATATATAACAAAAAGTAGGAAAATATAAATTTTATACTACAATGTTTAGGTTGGCTCTTGTTGTGGACTTCATGTGTTGTTTTTTCCTCTCCATCTTCGTTTCCTCGGGTTACACCCATATCCGGATGTTTGGGCATGTGTATCTACTTTCGCAGTTGCATATATGTGCATTCATTTCGGGCCTGATGCAGCCAACCAGCAGAAATACGTATCGCTCGTGTTGCCTATCCTATTTTCTGCTCGAATCCACTGCCCTCCTTTTTCCGGATTTTGCCCATTACTTTCCTACCTTTTGTTACATACCTTTCTCGGTATGATCATTTTCTTCTTTATATATATATATATATATATATATATATATATCTGCTCATAGCCCCTTTGAACCCGACAAATTTCATGTTCATAGTTGAAATAATGTTGGACATACATTTCTATAAACCTGAAATGTGATAAGGTTGAATAGAATAGAAATATTCAATGACCCTACCCTATCTTGAGGATATAATTTCTGAAACTTCTTGCTAATAATAATTATTTTAAAAATAAAATTGAAGGCAAAACATACTCCAACTTTTAGGCATCCAGCCATCATTCAAATATTCTAAATTCCCTACAAACACTTAAAAAGTGTGAACTCTCACTTCATCCCCTAAGCGGTGGGATTTATTAGATTACTTTGCAAGTGGTTATCAAACTGTATCAAAGAACAGACCCTATGAAACTCATATCTGTATACCTGGCTGTAAAGAATATTAGTTTCCCTTAGTTGCTCTTGTCCGTCTCCTCTCTAAATAGACGTCCATTTAAATTGGTTTAACCGTTTTGGAGTGAGAGTCGAACATACAAACATATACACTTTCAAATTCATAATAGCAGCAGTGACTCCTAAAGAGCTTCGAAATAAGGTACCACGCGACCCCCGTAACACTTATAAAAATAGTCTAAAATGGCTCCCAGCCATCATTTTTCAAATTTTCAACTGTTTTCTCGTCATTCCTAAATTCAACTTGGCAGCTTGACCCGTTCAAAAAAGTGGCAGAGACACTGCGATGTTACAGAAGGGTACAAAACTTCTATACCGCATGAGCTAACTACCTATTCTCACTTGACGATAAATGCTGAACTGTTATTCTATGTTACGTTTGACATATGGAAGTATCCGGAAGAATAGTGTAATGGTTCTTGACTGACTTTTAGCTTAATTAACTGCGGTTAAACTCACTTGGGATTGTGTATCTAGTGACCTCACAGGCATACAAGAATGATACTGTACCTCAATGCATAGGAAAAATAGTTTTTGGGGAGCAATGTGCTGTAGAGGGAGTGGTGGCAGATATCTCACGAACTGTGATTTAGTAACTGATGTTTATAAATCACGAATCACGACTGTCACCAAATATAGTGAAAAACATTAACGTGATCACGACTTCGGCAATGGTGAATGGTATCATGGGATCACAGCATTAACCGTAGAATGTGAGTGAGCTGCGCATGCGCGCTAGCCGCTAAAGTAAAAAATCGCATACCACCGACTACTATGACTTATAAGCGATATAGTGCCTTATAGGTTGCATGCCATCGCAGTGTTTTGATCAGGATATTGGTATACCCGTAATCTCATCATTGTTCCAGAGTCGTGATCACGTCATGGTCTTAAGGCGGCTCCGATGCAGTGAGTTTCAAGCCATTTACAAGGGTTCAGCTGCTTCAAAACTGACACTTCATTTTTCAATATTTTCGAATGAAATTCATACAGTATGATGAAAAGATAACTGCCCAGGGTGCTATAGGAGCACTTTTTGAAATTTTATTTTTGCACAAGTTTTATGATGGGTTGAAGTGCGCACTTTTTCTACTCAACTTCGCGATTTTTTTAAAAAGAACTTAGTGAA